AGCGTGCAAGCGACTTGATCACCTGATCGTTCTTGATTCACTAAAACTATATGAATTGTTGATTAGCTTGGTGGGCACAAGACCAACAATGCCTAAGAAGCGAGCACAATTGTTTTTTCTGGATAGCACACGCAATCACTGTGTGCGGGTCAGGGATATCGCAGTTACGGGTTAGTGTTGAAAGCTAGAACTTCGAAGCAGAGTTTCCTTAGGCAACTGGAGAGGTTTCTCTGGGCTCTTATCCATGCTTTCAATCAATGGGAAGCATGCAACAGTCCACTGTGAATAGATTTAAAGTTGGTCTTTGAAGAGATAGTGGGCTCTTATTGATGCTTTCAATCAATGGGAAGCATGCAACAGTCCACTGTGAATAGATTTAAAGCTGGTCTTTGAAGAGATAGCGAGATGGCTTAGTGGTTAAAGCGCGAATTTACTGACCGGAAGGTCCATGGTTCGAACCCGACCTCTGTATCTCGACCTCCTCTGTCTAGGCTTGGGCAGTTTGACAGTATCCCAGCCCTCGTGCTTCCTTCGGGTGGCATGGCAGTTAGGCACCGAAACGGTGCCACAGCTGAACTTCAGTTCATTTTCAGTCTTTGAAGGTGTAGTCCGGTGTGTCTCTGAGCTACACAGTTTTAATATCACTTGTTGGTAAAGTCCTTTGATTCAGTGTACACTTCAGTTGGATGATGGGTGCGGGTGTTTTCGGAAATTCAGTCACCCTTTCGATGATGCTCGTGTAGGTAATCCGCATACCTGCTCTCAGGAATGGCACGCGGTGTATAGCGAATGTGATGTACAGACTAAGCGGCCGTTCGTTCCTCGTCAAACAGGCATTTGATCAGTCAGTAGTACTAACCAATAGCCGTCTTCTGACGGCCGCACTGACAGTTTGTTTCGGTCAACTCAAAACTTGAAGAGAGATGACGATGTTGTCAAACGGGCATCTCGCTTCTAAACCGTTTGACGTAGCCTGTACATGGATATTCCTACAGCTACTTTTCCACTAAACCGAACTGTTTTTCATATTGGACCGACATTCTCTATATTCCCAACCACTTAGACGAATGAATAGGGAGACAGTATATGTGCAGTGCATACATAATGAACTTTCAGGCGCTTCTCCACAACGGACTGTGAACTATCTTGTCTTTCCACTCTGGTTATCGGAATGCACGCTGTGAATGAAGTATTCTGAATTGACATATTGTTCAAGAAATCGCCGGATCATGATTGCTTTCAGTGGCGACAAAGTGATCACTGTATTTCGGCCAGATGTTCACCTCATTTACTTTTGCATTCTGTCTTGAATCCGTATACTCACCGATTTTTTCTCGTAAATTTTAGAGCTTGCAGTTGTGGATGATGAATGATATCTGTTTCGGTGCTCAACGGATTCGTGGATGCAATCCGTTCACGATAGAGCTGTGTCGTGAACTTCCGGAGAGGTGAGAGCTACATGTTTCTTCACTTGGTCACCGGACTCTGGAGTATTCTGAGTGCCTGGATGTATGAATTTTATCCAAGTTCACATCCTGCTGTCACAATGGTTTTAGATATGCCTCTGAAACGTAATACCGTTGTTTTCTGTGCACGTCGTCTTTGAAAAACCATCAAAACCTCATCACGTTGCCACTTGATATCGTATTGTCCTGTTTTAGTTTCGATGCTGTTGCTACCTGGATCAAACCGCATTTGGAAGGTTGGACCCTGAGACAACTAGTGTCAGCCAACCGACTCTACTTATTGGACTACCGGATCATGCGTGGTCTGACTTGCAAACGCGGACGCTCTTTATGTGCTCCTTTGGCGCTTCTTTTACACACAGAAAAACGACAACTCAAGCCAATCGCTATCCAGCTTAACCAAGACGCGGGGGCAGCCAATCCGGTAAGAGTAATTTAAAAGCCACAGTCGGCTCGTCTCGTTACGTATGTTTTCTATTGTTCTGTAGCCTTTGTTGCTGCTAGCTAACAGCCTACCTAGTTCCTCGATACCTACATCTTCGGTGTACTTAATGGTCCCGTTTTTATCCATGTGTGACAGATCTTTTTGCCTACCGATCCCACTGCGGTTTGGCTACAGGCAAAGTTATGGGTCAACCTTGCGGATGCATGCCACCACATGATTGTCGGACGTCTGCTAACCCACATAATCTTAGAATCAATCTACGTCTCTATGCGACGTAACCTGGCTCAGTCGCATCCCATATACCAGCTGATGGCACCTCACTTTCGGAGCATACTTCCTGTCACAAAGTAAGTCTTTTTGGTCATCTATCTGCATTTGACCGTATTTGCTTTTGATACGGCCAAATAAATTTTGTAAATTACCTGTGCCTCAGCTACTCAAATAGCTGAACCGTGATTGAAGT